GCCACTAAACATGGACCAAACCGGGGGGAAGCTCAAGGTCTGCTTAGGGCCACTGAGACAATCAAGACTTTGCAGGTTGTTCGGTAGAACCCTGTGGCTCTGTCCAACTATCCGGTCCTCAGCTAGTCACTCACCGAGCCATGACAAGCCATTGGCCAGCCTTGACATGACAAGGGCTGGTGGACACGCCAAAGCGGCCCCCCTAGCGCCACAGAAAAGCTGAAGTATCAGTGCTCGCGAATCATACGAAACGTCTCTTGACTAGCATTCGCTTCAAATCTGTGTCCTCTTAATGGCCCCAACTCTGATCAACAAATTCTAGTTGCCGAATAAGTGGCCGAAGTACAAATCCCTCAGGCCAAGTCCGTGGATTTTCTCAGCTCGCTTGGGGGTCACCTGGTCACCGCTTTATGGGCAATGACCCCCAGGTTTGTCAGGCTCAGGAGATTTGAGGTACAAAAACGGGTTCCGGACCCTTTGGCAAACATCAGACTTCAGCCAGCCCCTTGTGGTTGCTTGTTCCAACTTTCGAAACTGAATGTCCTTTTTTGGGGGACCCCCAGTCATTCGCCCATTGAATCCCAGTTACCCTTGTAGTAAGTAACCACCTATTTCCCATTTGCTGTTGTAAAGGGTGGTTCCCGTGGCTACCTACTATACAGGTAGATGGATCCACTGGGTAGACCTGCAAAGTGATGATTCTCCTTTTGGGTTCCCTTAACCCGAAACGGGTATCGACTCCAAAATTCACTTCCAGCTGAGTAGATGCGGCCTAAGCAAACATTGGTTTACCACCAACATGGTCCAAACCCAAAAATAAATGGACCTGAGTAGGACAAAAAAACACTCGTAGCCCAAACATGGGAGCGTCTTCTGAGGGGGCACCTTTGTTGTACGATTTGAAGGGGCACCAAGAACTCACTTCTTGAGCGGATGGCCCAAACAAGTCTGAACTTGTTGTTTCCCACTAAAACGGTCCTCCCAAAAAGTTCCAAGTCCGTGAACTCAGGAAGTGAGAGAAAGCACAACACCTCATATATGTTTTCTTCTAGGGGGCCACCATCTTGGTGGGGACCCCATCGGTCCCCCAAAAGCTTCAAGCCACCTCCGCCACCTCGACGTCTCCGGTTTGCCCGGCCGCCGAGTGTCGCGTCCCGTCCCGTCTGGGCCTCCCGGAGCAGCGTGGTCTTGCCGGCGTCCGGCACCCCCGCCACCACCAGCAGCCGCAAACGCGCCAGGTGCAGCCGCAGCAGCGCCACTCGGCCCGCCACGGACTGCGCCTGCGCTCGAAGGCGGTTCGGGGGCTCCGGCGAGGGGCGGGACCGTCTGGGGGGCGGGTGGTGGGCTCGTTTTTGGGTGGGCTTCAGGTTGAGTGGGTGGGTTGAGTGAGGGTGGTTTGAGGGAAGGGAAACTGTGGGTTTGGCAGGGGTACCTGGAATTTCCCCTTCAAAGGTTGATCATTTTCCTGGCTGGAGGTGCAAAAAAGGAAAACAGCTCGGAAACCTTGTTTGGGGTGGGTTCAGGGTTGGCTTGGGGTGGGTTTGAAAAGGTGAGTCCACCTTGGCGCGCAGTGGAGCTCACCGCCATGTCTGCGGGGATATTCCACGACTCATGTCCAAGCGTCGAACCTGGACATTTGTATCTGGCGGCACTTCATTGAAAAATGTGTGCGTGATGGCAGGGCATCATTGTCTTCAAATTAGTCTCCTTTCAACAACTTGCTCGTGCCCCGTAAAGAAGTGACCTTCCGGTCCCTTACCGGGAACCACAGGGGATGCTTGTCTCGGGGGTCATTCTCCTAGGTCCTCCAGTAGAGCGGTTAGAATAAGGGTACCCTTTTTTTCTGTAGTCTATTTTAGTATCGGCACCCTCCCCCCAAAAAAGAAACGGTCAAAGGGCACCCTGCCTATCGAAGCGAGACCAAAATTACCCTCGAACACCCGCATCGCCCGCCTGCTGGGCCGCGGTGGCCTTGCGAACGGCACCGGGCCGGCTTAGGGGTGGGAGAGGTGGGTTTGAAGGGGGATTGGGGGTGGGGAGGAGGCTGGGTTTGGGGGGGGGGGGGGGGCTTGTGGGGGACATTTTTTGGGTGGCTGATTACATGGCAGCCGACAGGACCCGGAAGACCATTTTCCTATTAAGGCCCTCTGGATTGTTTACTGAATGGCAGGAGGGTAAGGAGAGGCACAAGCGAAATAACATCCCCACCATCCAAACAGAAGATTGTCCAATGCAGCCCAACGCCAGGTGTTATGAAGAAAGGTGGCACTGGTAAATGATATCGCACCGAATTGAAGCGGGTGGAAACTAGCGATCCTACCTCCTGCTTGATTGAAGTGGGACCTTTGGCCCCTCCGATTCGAATCGGGACGCAAGTTCAGTATGGTCACTTTGGGGCCCGGCACGTAAGTTTGAACATCCCACCGCTTTCCATGCAAACAAGGTAATTAAGATGATTAATACCCAACCAGCAGCACAGTCTCAAATCTCGTTTTCCAATGCTCACTGAAACTTTCGGCCCCAGCCCAGTGCCCAAGAATGGCGTAAGCCTCCAAAAAACCGTACATACAAGGCGCCAGCACAAAACAGCAGCTGGGAAAAGCTGTACCTGCCTGGCCTTAGCTTCATCACTTGCATGATCATGTCCGGCCTCCCTTTACAGTAATGTTTCAGATTCACTGAACGGTTGGAAGATGGAATTTGGACAATATCCAGTATCAGGAAAATCATCGTGGGCGTCTTCAAAATGAGGGGGTTCTCTTTGGCTTCCTTGAAGCAGCCAAAACATTGTGGCTCCCTTGGGTCTCCCTTTAATTCAAACCAACCCGTTAAAAAATAGTTGAACGGCTTTTTAGCCCCGGCTCAACCAACAAATATCCAAGACCTGCCCTCATTAGATCTCAACAAGCCCAACATTCACCCGAAGCCAGCCCCGAGCAACTTTCTACTGCCAGCAAATCAATGCCAATAGGCCCAACCAACCAACCGACCAACCGACCGACCAAGCGACCAACCGACCAGCCACCTGACTGGGGTTAAGCCCCACGGCTAGCCAAAAAGTCACCGGATATTTTGAAGGATACCCCTCCCTCCCCCAGAAAAAAAGAACAACAAAAAAACACACACACACACACACACAAGCTGTAGCCCGGTGTGTCTGCTCACGCCTCTTCCGATTCAGATAGCAAGCACTGCCAGTGGTTCCTGGGCCGGCAAATTCACATTCAGGCAAATCACAAAAGATCTGGACATCGGAAGGTGAATGGGTCAGAACCTCGACTCGACGTGGCTGTGTCTCTTGTCCCCTTGTTTGTTTGTTTGTTTTAGGGGGAAAGCAAAAAGAACACCACCATTGGGGAGGTCCCTCAAAAAAGACACACCAACATGGCAATCTAGTCAGACTCACCAGCATCGCTTGGTTTTAAAATCTTCGTGCCAGGTGCCCGCTTCCCCAAATCCTTTGAAGCCCCTCTGGTTCCGGAAGCAGTGAAACTAACCAAGGTAAGTCAAGGGAGGGAAGCCTGCAAATCAAAGGCTCCAATGTCACAACATATCTCCAGTCCTGAGAAACATCCCACATGAGGCGCGCTCGTTTCAAGAGACACGAGTTGCAAGCCCTAACATTTCTCCTCTCATGGAACAACGTGCGAATAGCTGGCATGCAAACGTGACCTGCTTGAATCAACACCATCTCTTTTGCTATCAGCTTGGCCCTCACACCTGGCAATCGAGCGGTCAACGGAACTTATCGTGTTTCCTCACCTTGGCCTTCCTTAGCCCGTTTTCAAGTCTACACTCATGACACTCTCTAGTATGCTGTCACTCGATACGCCAAATATCCCCAAAAATGTGGCTGCCACTTCCGTTCTGCCAAGCCGAGGCCATGAAGAAAGCACGCTGCCTCGTCTTCTTGTTGAGGCTCGGCACCCCCTTTCTTTGCGGGTTTAAAGGGAACCCTAAAGGAAAACCAATATGTCGGGGGTCCCCACCCGAAAAATAAGAAGACACGCCCATGTGTTCAACTCTCTCTTGCGATAAACCTATGCGTGCCAGGCACGCATAGAATGCCTGTGCTGGCTCGGCTGCCAGACAGCAAGCCGGAACATAGAGGGGACCGTCCATCAACCATGATCCCTTTCAAGCCAGCTATTGCGCTTCCCTCATCTGCTAAAAAGGTGGTTTTGCATTCTAGCAAACCCCACGATCATGAATCTGCAAAGAATTTTGAAAGAGACCATGAACTGCGCAGCCGCCCTTTCAAACTCGCGGTCGTTGCTTTCTAGGGCCTCTGGCCTCTTGGGATTCCCACTCGCGTCAAACAGAAGGGGGACCGGGGTCCCCGAATTCGCTTTCATGTTTAAAGGGGTGGGGATCCTTGCAGTGACCAAAAAAAAATGCCGCCCGATGCTCGTGTTGAGCAGGTCGTGTGCCGAACGACGGGACGACGCGTCGTGGAGTCGTGAAGGAGCGGCCCGCCAAAAGCCCGAGCCGGATCTGTAACTTGGCACATTTGGACAAACGAACAAGCGGGGATACAAAGGGAGCGGGGATATGGGGGGATTCCCTTGGCGCCATTTCCCATATCAAACGAAGTCAAGATGCATTTAGGGGGAATCCTCCCGTATTCCTTCTTCCCCCTGTATCCCTGCTAGTTGGTTTCCCTGACACATCTTTGCCACATTCCACTCCAAGACGTACCCCAAGACGGACAAAGAACACAGGAAGAAAGCACCTGCATGGTTGGCGCTTTGCCGGCTTTTGGAATCGGCCGCGTCACTTTGTACATCTACAAGCACTTTCGCGCCGCTGCCTTGCCTGGCCGAAGGGTTCAGGCTTTGAGGCCATCAATTCCTGATGCCAAGGCCCGGACGGGCCCTGGCCCTACCTCCCAGCTGCTTGATCATATGGGAAATGTAGGGAGCCAAGTTGGATGCCATCAAAGCGCCCGAGTTGGGCTAGGGATGTTCACCATGCAACTAGGGACTGGGTTTGACACTCTGAGGGGGTCATTTCGTGAACCGCGGGCCTTTTCAACATAAAACGCGACTTTGGCCGCATTGAAAAACGGCGCCGGTTCACCGGAGAAGTCTCCCTGGATCCTTGCGAAGCGAGCGCTGAACCCCCAGGCTCCCAGGATCCGGCTTTGAGCTCCTAGCCTTTTTCTGGGTTCCAAAGGGGCTCAAAGCCAGAAAGCAACCAAAAACCAAAAAAACGAACACATCTAGCCTTTTTCTGGGGCTCAAAGCCAGAAAGCAACCAAAAACCAAAAAACGAACACATCTAGCCTTTTTCTGGGGCTCAAAGCCAGAAAGAAACCAAAAAACAAAAAAACAAACACATCTAGAAAGCAACCAAAAACCAAAAAAACGAACACATCTAGCCTTTTTCTGGGGCTCAAAGCTAGAAAGCAACCAAAAACAAAAAAAACGAACACATCTAGCCTTTTTCTGGGGCTCAAAGCCAGAAAGCAACCAAAAAACAAAAAAACAAACACATCTCAGAAAGCAACCAAAAACCAAAAAACTCAAAGCCAGAAAGCAACCAAAAACCAAAAAAACGAACACATCTAGCCTTTTTCTGGGGCTCAAAGCCAGAAAGCAACCGAACACATCTAGCCTTGTTCTGGGGCTCAAAGCTAGAAAGCAACCAAAAACCAAAAAACGAACACATCTAGCCTTTTTCTGGGGCTCAAAGCCAGAAAGCAACCAAAAACCAAAAAAAACAAACACATCTAGACCTTTTTCTGGGGCTCAAAGCTAGAAAGCAACCAAAAACAAAAAAAACGAACGCATCTAGCTTTTTTCTGGGGCTCAAAGCCAGAAAGCAACCAAAAACCAAAAAACGAACACATCTAGCCTTTTTCTGGGGCTCAAAGCCAGAAAGAAACCAAAAAACAAAAAAACAAACACATCTAGAAAGCAACCAAAAACCAAAAAAACGAACACATCTAGCCTTTTTCTGGGGCTCAAAGCTAGAAAGCAACCAAAAACAAAAAAAACGAACACATCTAGCCTTTTTCTGGGGCTCAAAGCCAGAAAGCAACCAAAAAACAAAAAAACAAACACATCTCAGAAAGCAACCAAAAACCAAAATAACGAACACATCTAGCCTTTTTCTGGGGCTCAAAGCCAGAAAGCAACCAAAAACCAAAAAAACGAACACCAAAAACCCTAAAAAACGAACACATTTAGCCCTTTTCTGGGCAAAGCCAGAAAGCAACCAAAAACCAAAAAAACGAACACATCTCAGAAAGCAACCAAAAACCAAAAAAACGAACACATCTAGCCTTTTTCTGGGGCTCAAAGCCAGAAAGCAACCAAAAACCAAAAAAACGAACACCAACAACCAAAAAAACGAACACATTTAGCCTTTTTCTGGGGCTCAAGGCCAGAAAGCAACCAAAAAACAAAAAAATCAAAACACATGACAACAAAACACCGACACAAAGCAACGAGGCGAAACCTTTTTTGGCCAAACCTTGAGGCTCAAGCTATGAAGCCGTGAACGAGAGCACGGGCCGCAATGGAAACCTTCAGCGCCTCAAACATGAACACGGCACCTGGTATTACAAGAATCAAACCATATCTTCCGATATGGCCAAAACAGGAGTTAGAGTGGGCCGTTTCGGCCATAGATGCAACGCAAGCTAGCAATCTGCAGGCCAGTTGCCAATTCCTCTCTTCCTAGCCACGCAGCACTGGCTCTTAGACTACTCACTGGCTTCCTTATCCAAAACAAACAAATTTGCAGATGGTTTTTCTTGGGGGGGACCTTACCTGCCGGCCATCCGACAAAAAACCGCGAAAGGAAAACCTTCGAATGAACCAACCGGCTTCCCCTTTCGGCTTTTTGAACTCTCCGGGTGCCGCGTTGACCAAATCACATCTTTTTTGGAACCGCTTCCTATATGGGACCACCTACTAAATAGGACTACTTACTAAATGCACCACCTGCTCTACCTATGAGACCAAATCCTCCATTTGCTGAGTCGCTGTGGAAAAATGAGCCACTATTTCCAGTAGTGAAATCGATTCCCTTTAAAACCTCACGGGAAGAAAAAACAACTTGACCAAATGGAAGAAATGCCCCGCTGAAATAACTACATATTCTTTACCCATGTGAACCAGATCCGTTTTGCCCGGGCTTCGTTCGTTTTTGGGTCCTCAGCGCCAGGACTGGCGGGTCTGCTTCAGGTTGGCCGGGGTCCGGGGCTGCATACTGCCTGCGGTCTGGGGTGGGCGACCTTCGGAGGTCCCGGGAAAAACCGCCTCAGAGGGCTGTGGTGAAAAATAGTTGGTAACCCCAAAATGGGTTGCCCGTTCGGTAAATGGGTTGCCAAGGACTAAAACCTGCTTTTGGTTTGCCCTAGCTCTTTACTCTTGAGCCACACCCAAATCAGCACCGCCCCCCCCGTTGGAAGCCCCGCTCAGAGTTTCAAATTCACCAGAGCTGCTGTAAAAAGTCTAGGAACGTTTTGCAAAACACACCAAACGCGTGCGTTTCAAGTCTGTAAAAGTATCAAGTTGGCTTCGGGTTGTTGACCCCGGACATCAAATCACCCCGTCCTATTTCTAGGTCGGGTTTAGTAGGATTCAGACTGCTTTTGCAGGGTTCGGAACACGGGAACACCGCTATGTAATTTTTGGGGCCGACATCAGGTCCAATTTCGGCGGAACCCCATGGCTTCCCTAGGTCCAACTCAGCTTCTAAAAGCAAATCCAAACCACTTCGAGCCACCAAGGGGGTTAACTACCTTAAATATGGCTGGGGGTGGCGTTACCTTAGTTCCCCCCCCCAACTCCCTATATTAGATGGATATTCTTGTTAACTTCCGAAACCAAAAGACTACCCCCCCAACAAAAAGAAAGAAAAGATAAGACATACACACACACACACCAAAAACATGCAAAGGATCGCCTGGGCTCACCTCCCTCCTTCCCTCCCCTCCCTTTCTTTCCCTGCCCGCCGCCGGCCCCCAGCAGTGCTGAAGACAGACAGGAATGCCCATCCAAAACACACACACACGCACACACCCAACCCCCCCCCCCAAAAAAAAAGGAAAGAAAAATACAAAAATAAACAAACAAACAAACAAACAAACCAACAAACCAACAAACCAACAAACAAACAAACAAACAAACAAACAAACAAACACAAACAAACAAACAAACAAACAAACAAACAAACAGACACACACACACACACACCAAACAAAAACACACACACAAAATACAAAAAAAAGGAAAAAATGCAACACACAAATGCATGGACCTTAACCACCGAAGACGTCCAAACACCAAAAAAAAACGGCTCCGCGGAATCCGAGCGTTTCAATGTCTCACCGAGGTGCCCAGCCGCAGCTCGTCCACGTGCTTCTCCAGCCTCACCAGCCGCTCCGCCATGTCCTCCGATCGATCCCGCGGATGCCAAGGACCGAAGGGCCGTCTTCAGCTCCGAAGGCCGTGGTCGAATGACTTGGAGGAATGTCCAGTGATAGGTTCGAAACCTAAGCCTAAAACTACCCCCTAAAATTTGACCCATTCAAACATCAATGGTTGTAGCCTAGTGGGGTGAACATCTCCAAGTGCCCTTATCTTGTCACTCTGAAAAAGTGACCAAGCTGTGCGCCACTGTCCTCTCAAGTTCAAAGCAGCCAAACTCAGAGAGTGATGAAATAAAATCACAGGCAAGCAAAGGCAACCAAACTCACGTGGCTTGGCCAGAAAAAGTCCAGGAACTTTCTGTCCGCCAAAATGGGTCGTCCCAAAAAGTGACTGAAGCCTATAACCTCGGAGTGTGATGCAAAACCAAACATACTTGATCATACTTATGTGCCTGTCTACCTTTGGCTCTTGGTTCTCTTTCCGCCCCCAGCACATCATATACCGCCTTCGTGTGGCACAACAAAAAGGAATATGGTGGGAAATTCACGATGACAACCCAAATTGGTGCCAAAGCGCGACTTTCCAGAACTATGGACAGTTTTTTGGGTAGGATTTCCCCATGCACCCCAGGCGGGGAGGGGGGCACAGAAAGTCCCAGTTACATTCAGGGGCCCTTGCTGGTCCCTTTCTCAGTATCTCACTGAAATCGTCCTGGGCAAGGGGAGCTGTTGATAGCCATTTTCAGTGAAAAAGCTTTCAGAAAGAGGAAACCCTTTTCCAAAGAGGTCAGATCTGGAAGGATGGACCCTGGGCAAGTGGCCCCCTGCCTCCCTGCCCGAAAACAAGGAAACTCGCTGGAAGGATGGAAAATGCTGGGATCCGATACCTTCCCTATCATGCCTCCCTGCCTCTCGGAGTCCAGTCCCTCCCTCAAGAGGGACAATGGAAGGATGGAACAAGGACTGGTCTTGATGGAACCCTGTGGGCTCCGGTGGCCTGCCTCCACCTTTCCCTCCCTCCATGCCTCCCGTGAAAACCTCAGCTCGCGCCTCGATGAGCCGCTCACTCTCCGCCTCCTCGCCGGAGTTCCCGTACTTCCGACCGCTGGGGGCGCACCACCAGAGGAAGCTCTCCCTTCGGACCTCCTGGCGGCCGAGTTGTGGGATCCTCTCGTTTAAGACGGGCAAAATCCGTGCCCCCAAACGAGAAATGACTCGAAAGACATATGACATATGTGCTGTTTGATCAAACAACTACCTTTGTCTTGTTTGATATATGGCTGTGGGTCAAAAAGAAGGTACCCAAAATGGGTTGCCCAGGTAAATGGAAACATGGACTAAAACCTGCGGTCCCCTAGTGGTTTAATTTTGACCCACACCCATATGACACATGTGCTGTTTGATCACTACCTGTGTTTTGTTTGATCTAACTTTGAAGGGAAGTTGTGGAGAGTCTTCTAGGGACGAGCGCAGATCCCGGTTAAGCGATCATGAACTGGTGCCTTACTGCGAAACATGACACCTGAAGCACCAGATCACATGCGGTTGAGCTTTGGGCAGGTAGCGGGGCCACTTGGCACCGTTCAAGTGCTCACGCTTTTGCATCATTGATCGATATCGACATCTACTTGTCCAACATAGACTTACACGGAGGGAGCTTGGGAACTTCCATCGCAGACGTGTCTCAGGTGAGACTCACCCAAAAGCTGGAGGTTCAAAGGGGTTGTGCCGGACTTGGCAAGCGGGAGAATGTGCGCGCCTCAGATCTCAAGGTGCGATCGAGTCCGTTGGCGCCGTGTTGACTGCGGAGTGGCAACCCGGAAGATGATGACGTTTGTCTCTCTAACTCTTGCAGGGCCAGGGCCCCGTTCAAACTCCAGATTGGTATGTCGAAACTGCATTGGAGAGCTTTGACAAAAATAGAATTCAACAGCAACTCTTTGCGAGGCTTCTAGCTTTCGGACAAGCGTTCAATCTTCAACTCCACAATCAACTACAATACGGCAACTGGTACTTTAGACAACTCACATCCTGCGTGGATGGCCCAAAAAAGCCTAATCTGTTCTTTCCAAGCCAAATCCCCTGCTAAAAGTTGAGCTTTAGTGGTTTAGTGCAACCCTCTAAACTCCAACAAAACAAAAACCAAAGGAACCGCATGCCTGGGAACCACTGAGGTTTACAACCAAAATGGCTTGCCAAAATCTTCCATTTGCTTAAGCCCACTGGACAAAACATATTGTTCCAGTAGTGCTACAATCCCCTTAAAACCCACAGGGCAAAGACCATAAGCAAATGAAATCCATTGGGTTAGTCCGTGGGCCTCGCTGGCCCATGGCCACGCCAGCAAGCAGCCGTTCAACAGGTAGAAGGCGAAGAATAAAATGAAGGCGGCCAACCAGGCGGGGCAGTCCTCACGCAGATGGCTGTGGCTCAAAAAACCAGTACCAAAATGGAACCCTGGTAAGTGAAAACATGGAACAAACCCTGCGTAGCCTCTCCTGTTTAATTTTGAGCCAAACCCAGCAGATGTCTTCAGTGCTTCCCTCACGAAACGAAGGTGAATCCGTGGCTTTTCAGCTGGAGACCGGAGACCGGAATTTTGGTGGTGTTCCGGAAGGGGTTTCCCATTTCTGCGAAAGCCAGGGGTTCAAACCCAAATCCAAACCACTCATCCAAACCACCAATTCAAGGCACCAATGTTCCCACCAATAAACACCACCAATTCAAACCACCAACTCGGGGTGCCTGAAAAACCGGGTGCCCTTTTTCAGATTTACCTGAGGTGTTTGGCGGTCATTTGAGGGCATGGGCCACCCGCTCGGGGTATGGCCCACGTCCGCGTCTTACTTTCATACCCTAAATTTGCCGAAGCCGCCCGGCAGAAAAAAAAATGTATTTCTAGCCATGATCGATTCCCGAACCCCCTCCCACCAATCAACATGAAACCTGACAGGACCTCTGTCAGGTTTCATGAGTATTGGCGCAAATGCAACTTACAGGAAAGAAACAAGACATGCTCTCAAGTAAATACAAGATACAACTTCCAAAGCACTCGAAAAGCGGATCATGTTCTGGCCGATGGGAGTGGCATGGGGGGTGTCCATGAAGTGGGTACCTGTTCGGGGGGGGGGGGCCTTTATATATATATATGTATATATATATAATAAAATAATTCATAATTGCTTCTTTCAGACATTTGTCCAAACAGGACATACTTGATGCCCAATGAACTCGAAACCAACGTAAGTTTGCCATAGTTCGTTGGTTTAGGTTTGCCTGAGTGTGTTGCATGATGCCTTGTGTTGCAACTGGGCTCTGGCCTACAGTAGACACCCCCCCCTCCCCACCTTTCTTCTTGGATGTTTCACCCGCTTAGTAACTTGGTTCTACCCGCAGTAAGTAGGGCAGCTGGATGCAACTTGGGGTTGGTTCCCTGAAAAAAAACATGGCTGTAGCCCGCTTCAGTTGACACCTCCAGAGGCCTTCTCTCCCCTCTCTCTCGCCTTTCCCTTTGGGGCTTTGGGTTCTTTGGCCCCCAGCACAAGGGCACCGAAACGGCAACCTCTGAACCGGGACCGGGGGCCTGAGCAACGCCCAGAGTGGACCTGGAATGAAAGGTCGGCCCACGAAGGTAGGCCAAACAGGGCAAAAGGCCCAAGGTGTATGCGAAAAAAATAGAGAAGAAGATCCTCTCCCATCAAAGCAGCTGAGAATTTGATCACCTCGTGCCATTGTTTTCTGATTCGCCGGTACTTCCTGTGAAGAACGGCCTTTCCAAGGCATCGAGACAATGTTTCCCCCCCAAAAGCAAAACAGGAGCCTCAACGTAGTAAAGTGCGCCGAAAATGCCTGGTAGTTTCGTGACATTCCTCAGCTATAGTTTCCGTTCCACGGAGGTTTCGCGACTCGCAACTCCAACGTCCAGGATTCGCAACTGGCACATCGAAAACCGGGTCCTCGATAACAATACAAAGCACCCAAAGTCCGAGTAGGATGAATGACAGGATGCACCAGAACACCAGCCAGCATCGCCCTGGGCAGGGGAAAATTGGAAAAGGCTAAAGGCAATCGGTGAAATTCAACAAATCACAAGCCCAATGGGGTGAGAAATGGCGCGATCACCGCGGCCTGGCCTAGAATGGCTCCAAACTGCAAGCAGCTTGTTGACATCAAGTCTTGCTCCAAACACCGAACAATTGCACCCTGGCATAGGCTTCCTACAGCCCCATGAGACACGCAACAATCAAAAATATGTTGTTTAGGCCAAGGAATGTATAAAAGACTGCTGTAGGCTTTGGTTTTTGTTTGATGTGGAAGCAGTCCACAGGTTGAAAATTCCATATCCGAATGGGGAACAGGTGGGTGTGTCTTTTTTACGGCCCCCCCCCCATAACAAATCTCTAGGGGTTGATTCCCCATTCTTTTCAAAAATCGTTCTTTTCAAAAACCAACTGTTTCCCTGCGTTTTTGATGGTTTCCTGAAAAGAAGGATCCCTGGAAAGAATGGGGAAGGTAGCCCTAGAAAATGGTGGGTTTTCCTGTTGGCTGCCCTTTAAAAGCAACAAAGGTAGCCTCAAGAGAGGCACACGCATGTTGCATCGGCTCACCTGAATTCGGGAGCCCCAGATCGAACAAAGGTTGGCCCAAGGAATCTGCGCCTGAGGTTTTCTCTGATCGGACTTCAAAACTGGTTGACCTTCGGTTGGCTGCCTGAGAGTCATCCCAAAGGGGTCAACGATTTCAACCCACACATAGCAGCCACATCTTTTTTTTGCAGAACCCGCTTCTTTCTGACCCCCTTCACGCTTGCAAGCGTCTTTGCCACGCAAGCCCTTCGTTGAAACACTGCCGTCGCTACCCCAACTCCCCACGCCAGCCCATCCGAACGCCTGGACACCAAGAAATCGAAACGGCACACGGGCTTGAAGCCCGTGCGCAAAAACAAGCATTGGTTCCAGCTGTGAGTCCACACGCCACACTCGCACACAAATCCTGAAAAACATCAACCACCCCAATGACGCCAAAACAGCCATGAGGTCACTTAACAAACCACCAACTAGAGGGAAGCTGACGGTTGGTTTATGTTGGTTTCACCTTAACACCGCAGTCACCCCAGTGATACTGTGGATGGACGAAATCTTGCACCACTTTGAAACCACGGGAAACCAATTCTTGCTGGTATTCACAGGGGGGAATCACGAGAAATCAGGGTTTCTTGGGTGCGAATTGGACTTCGCAACCATCCACAGTAGGGGTGTGCTCCTTCCAAGAAAAGGGGACACCCTTCTAATTCATCAACCGCAAGTTTACTCATCAACCCTAATGGTCTTGATTGATTTTGGGCCCTCAAAATGGGTTGTTTTTAAGGGTCCTTGAAAGTTCGGGGTTCTGCATTGGAGGGCCCAGGGGTGTGCATTGGAGGGGTCATGACCCTTAGGGAACATTTAGGGAACCACAATTTTCAAAACACACGGCGCACAAAGCTCAGATGCCCAGTGGATGCCCATGGGAAAAAAGGAATCGGCCCCCCTTTTTTGGTTGGTTGAGTTTAAAGGAATCGGAACCCTTACCCAAAAAAAAGTCGAAAAAAAGAAGCAACCCACTGGGCAACAAATAAAAGCAAAAGAGAACAAAACCACCTCATCATTGCGTTGGGTTCTTAGGTGGTGCCTAAGAGGATTTCGTCCATCCATCCGCAGGTTTAAAGCAAACGGCGCACAAAGGCAAAAGAACCAAAACCCACCACCGCCCCATGCGCCCTAAACTTCGAACATTTCGCCTCGGGCTAGGCAGGGCAGCTGAGGCTGCACCATGCAGCTCAAGCAAATGCTGGACCGCTCCTGAAACGCCCGTGCTTGCACTGGGCCCTGAAACGTCCCACGCAGAAACAAGGGGAAAGCATCGAATTGCAAGGGGCAAATAGTGACATGAACGATAGGGAAATTTAGCTGGGGGCTCAAACCACCCATACTTTTTGGCCAATCAGAAATTCTAGTTCTTTCGGGTCAGTTTGCCTGCGTTGGTCAAGGCGACCCGTTCACGGATCTAAAAGGGCATGTCTGGTTTTGCTAACTCGGATTCATTGGGCACAAGACCCAACAATAGAAGCTCTACCGTTTCCCAATGTCTTGAAAATGACGAAAGGCTGGCTTGCGGCAAGAAAGTTTGCTTCTTTCTGAGGGGCCAAGTTGCCAAGTTGCATCCGGCGATCCGCTGAATCTTCAGGCTTCGAAAGGCCACTTATGTCTGATGTTGGTGACATATGGATAGGGAGACCTTCCAAATGTCTCCTTGGGGGTTACCATTCAAGCTTTCAATCAACTCGACGTGTCATTGGTGTGTCTTGTCTTGTTTGCGATTCACAACTTTGGTGGTGACCCCGCGGCCAGTAAGAAGGGATGCAACTGGTCTCACTTCTTAAAACTGGACCAAAAACAAAGTCCGGGGACTTGTTGTTTTTGCCTCTCTGGTCCAAACCCAAGTGGCTAAAGTTCATGAACTCCAAAAAGGTGAGAGAATTGAACTGCTGGGTTCACTCACTTCCTGGCTGGATGTACCCAAAAAAGAGCAACCAAACAGTTTGTTGACTACTAAAATGGTCCAGAACCCCAAAAAGTGACTAAAGGTCCGAAGTGGAACTCGGGGAGTGGGCCAAACAAGAAGCATGGCTCCCCTTTTCATCAGGCCGCTCTTGGCGTTTTCGGGTTTAGGAGCCGGAGTGCAGAAGTCCACTTTTGGACTAAACCAACCTAGACTTCAACCCAGAGTTGATTTCCTTTTGGGGGTAAATCAACCGCCCCTGGGTTTTAGTCCACCTTGGGGAAGTTTTTCCTTGGGGTAAATGAACCACCCCTACAGTATTTAAGTCTACCCTGGACAAGTTCAGAAGTGGACCTCTGCTGGAGCGAGTTTACCGAAAAATCCCGCCGGAACTTTCGAACCGGAGCCTCCATTTGGCTAAAACGGGACAAACAAAATCATATGTCCAGTAGTGATAAGTTCCCTTTAAAACCAAAAGGGGGAAATCCAACATACTGTGGATGGACGAAATCCTGCACCACTTGGAAACCATGGCTGAAACCATTCTTTGTTGGTATTTACCAGGATACTCCCTCATGCCTGGGTTTTTCTTGGGTGGTGCGAAACGGAGTTCGCAACCATCCACGGTATCCATTTGCGATGGAATGGAGCCCCTGACTCGGTCCAATTTCCGCGGATCCGCGGATCGCGGATCGCGGATCGCCGCCTGCAGGAAGAGATCCGTGGCGTGGGCATGGGCCTCCGAGTAGGCGCGGCCGTGCACCGCGATGAAGAGGTTCAGCAAGCTGATGCAGAAGATGATGACCTCTGGCGACTTCTTTTGCTGCTTGGCTTAAAAAAGACAGGAAAGTTTAGGGGCACGCTGCGCAGATGACCTCTGATGGCCTGCGCTGGAAGCTCAGCTTCCAGCTGGTTGGCGGTTTGGATTGATGGCTTGGTGGACCATCGGGTAGTTTCCCACTTGCAGTGGACCTCCGAGAGCTCAGTTTTAAAGGGCCGAGAAGCAGCAAGAAACCACTTCAGCCACCTGGGGGTTCAAAACCGAAAAATGATTTGGCCTTTGCAGAAGGGTAAGCCCCACTAAACACTAAAAGTCTAAACAGCTAAGCTTTGCAGAAGGGTCTGCAAACCCAGTTTGGTTGGGTAGTTTCCCCTTTGCAGAAAAAAAATGACCTCGAGCGCACTGGAGGGAGCACACCCCAATTAATAGAACCCGATGACTAATCCGGGGTCAACGTTTAACTTTTAGTGGGTCAAATGGAAAGCCCCACTAAACACTAAAAGTCTAAAAAGCTAAGGAACCGGACGGCTGGGAGCCACCAAGACAAAGCGTGTTGCTTCAAGTGGCTGCGATCAGCAGCGAGGCCGCGGTGATGTAGTCCCCCGTGCCTGCAGCATCGCCGCGGCCACCCAGCTTCAAGGTGCCCACAATTCCATCACCATCCACCATGAACAGCAGCTTCCTCGGTGTTGGTTCTGTTTGTAGGGGTTGAAGTCAATTTGAATCCGTTGACTTAGTGAGTTTAAACTACCATCCTCGGTTCAAACTCTTCTCCTTTCGTTGAAACACATATTGTCTTGCAGGGGGGGAAGGGGGGAGGACTGGGGGGGAGGGTCCTGCAAAAGGAAACATACACATAGCTTCCACGAAAAGGGTGGCTTTACGGTTTGGATTGATTCGGGGAATTGAACCCCTTCTTGAGGATGAATGGGAAACCACAGACCCCCCTAGACCCCTCTAAAGCTCTAAAGCGGGGCGAACTGGGGAGGGGGGCCTTAACTCCCTTGTTCACCCCTTAACAAGGCCCGGCCTTCAGAGCTTATCCTTGACGTACTCCCTAGGGGTCTATTAGTACGTGAGCTTCCCACGAAAAGTGTGGTTTGGATTGGTGCACTTTCTAGGTGGAACAGCTACTTCCTGTTGGCAAACCCCTTTCGCAACAAAAAGGGTTCTCGATAATTATCAGCTTCCCTCTAGTTGGAGGGGGTTCCACCTAGAGAAATTGACTCAGGTTAAACCTCTAGTTGGTGTTGATTTGTGGAGACTAGGGGGTATCCCTCGAATTGGTGGCTTGGATTGGTGGTTCAATATGTCAGCTATCACCGTTGTTGCTTGTTTGGTTGTGGCCTGGGGAAATCCACATATTGGTTTGCGGAGGGAGGGGGGAAACATGGTTTGAATAGGGTGGTTTCACATTTGCCCTCTGCAAGATGCAGGGGTTCACAACCCCCAGGCGTTTCTTTAGTTTCCCTGTACAACCCCAAAACGGGCACCTTCAAACAAAATAGCATCGACATGTGCCAAAACAGGAATTTAACCCCACCAAATTAGGTGGACTTCCCCGGAAAACCACGCAGAATTCTCTGGGCATTCATGTCCACCACTTTCGACGTGGCCTCTGAAAATTCATAGCCATATGGCGCACCTACCCCAAAGTAGTACCACTGGGCAACCCTTATTTCTGATAGTCGAGTTTAAAGGAAACCTTGGCATTACCTAATAGGGTATATATATACTCTGCATGCGTGTCATTGTTTCCAAAGCAATTGGTCGTTCTCGTCGTAAAAGCTGCAAACCCTAGAAACAAGAATCTGGGGAATGAAGGAATAGTCAAGTAATGACCCATAGAAGATCCAGAGAAAGGAATAGAGAAGCTTCCAGAGCCTTGACCAAGTGTTGGCTCTTCCTGTTAACTCCCTTTATCTTGGATAGAATTACCTCTTTCCTTTTCATTTCGTATTCTTTGTCACCTGTCTGTCCTCACATTGTAGTTACACCTTACCTCGTCCCTTCATGGCATTGTGATTCCCAAAATAGCAAATGAACATTAATTGTGAGATCTTTGTGAGTGCAGCGCTTGGTCAAGATGTGGAAAGAAGTGGAAGATATAAGTGAAGAGAGAAGAAGGAAAGACAATGCGAGCGGGAGGAAACCGTCCCTAAATGCTGCCAACCCTCTCTCCTGTGTGTCGGAGGGCCTTATCTCTCCCATGTAACTCTCCTATCTGTGTGCGAGTCACCATAAAGACGAGATAGGGAAAGATTAGTGAGTTGGGGACCGTGTGGCACAGATAAGACTCACCTAGAGATGAAGATGACCTAGGGAAAAGGTAACGTGAGGAAGGAATTAGCCATAAGACCCTTTCATTTCCTTTATTAATCACCAATCCAGAATGATAAAGAGATAGGATTGGGAGGTGAGATTAAGAGACAGGACATCACCTCCAAATGAAGCAAACAATGTCATTCCTCCATCCTCATCCCTTCGTCTGGAGCACCTTTCCTATCCTTGTCTTACCTCTTTTCTTTTCAATTACATTCATCTTAAGAACGAAGGCACCCAACTCATTCACTCTTCACTCAAGCCCTTTCCTCCGGGCTATTACACACTGTGGAAGGAACTGGTGAAGAGAATAGGAACACAAAGAGAAGAAAGACAGGATGAAAAGGAATGACAGATATAATTCTATCCCTTCTTCTTCCTAAGGTCGAGAGAAGCCTTTTTCACTCACCTAACAGCCATTACTCTCTCTCCCTTGCAGTCGATCCAATGGCTGACACATGATGGGTAAATAGAATGCCAATAATAAAAGCATCTGGAAAGCATGGAAAGGATAGTGACTCACCATGAAGAATCCACTCTCTCTTTACTATTAATATCTGTTTCTTTGGGATTCTATCTTCTCAAAATTCAAGATTCTAAAGGTGAAGGAAGGATGACCAACGAGAGCTAGGATAAAGCCTGACAATGGATAGGTAATGTGGAATAGCGAATGAAAAGGGAAATAGAATGACATGCCATGGAAGAGCCGTCACCGGTCGCTCTCTTCACTCGCTCTCTCTCCCATGTACTTCCTCTATCTCTTGGAGTCTTACCTTCGTGTCCTATCTGTAACCACTCTTCACCAAGGGAAAAGGTAAGGTGTAAAGACTGGAATCTTCTTTCCTTTTCCTTGGGTTCTTGATCACCATTTCATCCCTAACTCTCTAACCGTGTACTCGCTCCCGTCCTATCTGTGAGGGTTAGGTGACGTACGAAGTGACGAAGAAAGCTGAGGAGCGGTAGGGCATATTCCTTCATTCACTTTCCGGATTCTTAATCCATCTTTTCACTCCATCTCTAAGCCTCACAAACACCAAGGAAAGAGGAACGAGAGACAGATAACATCCTAGCCTTATTAACTCCTCAAAGAATCTGGAATTACAGATGAGGACAGGTCGTTAGGACAGTGTATCACCTCCCGTCTGTCGGGGTAATTGAAAGGCTTAGAAGAAAGCCGTTAATTCTAAGAATGAAAGAAAGGAAAAGGAATATAAATGAATGAAAAGAAAGGTAGGGCCCGGTCGTCTACTATCGTTTACTCTAGACACAGAGAAGGTCCTGAACTAACCTAGCGGGCCACGCCATAAAATATAAAATAAAATAATAAAATAGCAAAATAAAAGAAAGAAGATAAGAATAAAAGATAAAGAAGAAAGAAGCAATAAGGCTATTACAGAAAGGGGCCGGAGGCAAGTGTGGGATCATCTCTCTCCATTGGATGCGGGAAGCCAGGGGCTGACACCTCACTCATTCATTTCCTTCATTCGCTTTCCTGTAGCTTCCCTATCCTTGATTACCACGTCCTAAGGTAAGAGCCGTGGGTCACCCGCGAGCGGGAAAGAAGGGGATAATGCGAGAGAAGACTCGCAAAGAAGAGAGATAACGCCCGACGGCGGAGGTGATAGAGAGATAGCCTTCGTTCTCGCTCATTCTTCACTCACGAACGAAGTGTTGGAGGGAATAGGAAAGGGTGAGGGAATCCCAGAGATTAATAGGTGTGAAATGAAGGGAAGGTACATGGGAGAAGATGCCCTTGGCAGCTGGAAGTGAAAGGCATTTCTGGGACTTTATCATCTTCCTTCTCTTCATTTCTCATTCCTTCTTTCCTTTCCCCTCACCTTATGGTCGTTCCGGAAGGTAGAACGGAGGGGAAAGACACAGACAAGGATAACGAGATAGAAGGAAGAGAGGCTTGCCGACCCATTTCCTCATCCATTGACCGTGTACCATCCATCCCACGGTCTCATCTGTACATCTCTTTCTCTGGAGCGGAGAGGATTAGAATGAGAGATAATTGCATCGACAAGCCGTTAACCGCTCCAGACGGTTCTATCCCATCTATTCATTCCCTTATCCATCTCTTTTCATTTATCTTCTTTACCTATCTTTCCTGGCATTATGACAGAGAATTAACGAGAACTCGCTATCCAAGGTAGAATGCTATCTCTATAACCTCACCTCATCTCCATTCCGTCGATGCAATGTGAGAGAGATGTAACTGGGAAATAGTGGATTGTAAATGAGAGAATAGACCGTCTCACGGATAGCATTCCCACTCTCTCCTTTCGTGGTTATTATCTCCCCTTTATTCACGGGTTCTCGTCTCTAGGTTATTATCTGTTTCTTGTTTGTCTTTATTGGAATGCTGTTAACCCGTGAATCAAGGGAGTTATAATGTTAGGAAAGGAATAGCATGTAGATAGGTGTCCCAGGACCTTGTCACCGACGGTAAAAGCCAGGAGGTGGCTAAGATAAGGTCCTGACAGCATGCTATTCCTCTCTATCTCTCTTTCTCTGGGTTATCTTTGTGGATTAGAAAGTGAAAGAAGAAGAGCTACAAAGTGAACCAAAATGAGATGATAATAACCCAGAGAAGAGAGGAACAAGGCTTACCAAGTGAATGAAAAGGAAGGAAGCGAGACAAGCGAGCGGACCCTTCCGCATTATCCATCTTCTCTTTTCTCTTTCTTTCATGCCTTAATTCACAGGCCTGACACACAGGGCCAACAATCCAAGGAAAAGTGAAGATGTAAATAGAAAAGTAACGAAGAGAAGAGAAATACACGGTCATTCTTCCCTTCAAATGCATTCTCCAGAACGAAGTGAAGAGTGGCCTAGCTTTTACCGAGCCCAGAGGCCGGGATATCACCTATAGATGGAGCGGAGCGGACCAGTCACTATCTTCTCTCCCTTGCTCCACCGCTGGCGGGTGAACCTACGGTCTGACGAAGGAAGAAGATACACTGTCTAACCTCCCAATCCATTCCTATCTCCTACCGTCTGAACCGAGAGTTAACGAGAATGAAGGTTGGTCAAGATACGACCAGACGGTAGGAGGGAGTGAGTGTAAGGTCCTTTGTCCCGGCCGTTGGCCTTCTCCTCTTGGTTCCTTCCTGCATTCATCCTTGCCATGCCTTCCGGAACCGACAGAGGAGGGTGAGGGAGGAAGGCAGGAAGTGATGGATGGATGTGTGTGTGAGGAAGATAAATGCCTGGAATTAAGGGACTTTGCTTTCACTATCACATGCCAGGCATTCCTCACACACTATCCCTTCCTCCTGTCTTACCTCCTCCCTCTCACATCCTTCTCCTCCTTTCCAAATTCCAGGAGTTAGAGATTGGGAATTTGGAGGAGGAAAGAAGGGGATAA